TCTCTGTCTGTCTTCTCAAGTCTTCACATTCACCCATGCGCTCTCCAAGTCAGTCCAAGTCTCTTCAGTTTTGCAGCATCCTAAAAAGCTATCTATTTCCCAACTTCCTCCAATTGTCCAGGTCTTGCCGTCCATCAGGCCCCCACCCTGGTATCATTTCTCTATTTTTTGGAAACCCCTACAGCCAGTTACTGAGAAACAGGAAACTGGCCCCCATGATCATGCAGAGAGAGAAGTACACAGAAGAACAGAGAAATCCTGACCATACTTAAAGTTTAACTAACATTGGCCTAATAAGTTAACTATATCAAGTTTGCTTTTACCACTACAAACGTTTACCATCCAACCTGACAGCACTGGAGAGGATCTGCAAGGAGGAATGGCAGAGGATCCCCAAATGCAGGTGTGAAAACTTGTTGCATCATTCCCAAAAAGACTCATGGCTGTATTAGCTCAACAGGGTGCTTCTACTAAATACTGAGCAAAGGGTCTGAATACTTATGACCATGTGATATTTCAGTTTTTCTTTTTTAATAAATCTGCAAAAATGTCAAAAATTCTGTGTTTTTCTGTCAATATGGGGTGCTGTGTGTACATTAATGAGGAAAACAATGAACTTAGATCATTTTAGTATATGGCTGCAATATAACAAAGTGAAAAATTTAAGGGGGTCTGAATGCTTTCCGTACCCACTGTACAATCTGAAATTTCATTTTTAATTTCATCTTTTGTTTCCAATAGAATAGATCTACTTATAGTAGTCTTTACATGAGCATGTGATCAAAACACAATCAAATTCACTTCACATGCAGGGAAAGCTCCCAGCCAGTTCAACATGTGCCATCGCTGAAACTTACTACAGCTGAGGTCAAACTTTGTTTACTTCATTCATTTACTTCACATATTTCATTCATAATCATTCACACTTTACTTCTTCTGTCCTTTGAAGGGCCTTCGTGCCGTCGATTCGGTCTTGGTATTCTTTCAGAAAGCGCAGTATCTTATCAATTGTGGCCTCCTGATATTCATGGGACCATCTGTGTAAAGTGACATCAGTGTGCATTAAAGCAAATCAGTTGTCTCCAGTGGATATTTTACATAGTGGTCAAACATTTATCATAAACAATAAAAGGTTAACCTACTGTATTGTTAGAATATCTGTGGCAGAACTGTGCAGCGAAGGGTGAATAATAATAATATTAGCATGAAGTGGGACTGTGGTGTCATCACACAACCACAAATCAGATTTCCAGTCCTCAATACAAAGTACATCATGTAGCCATGTGGTGAACACCAAATTACACAGAAATGTGCTGAGGTTTTAGAGAATGTAGCCACTCACTTGATGCCGTTGAAGTTGAGAATAGACCTCATGTCCTCGGGCAGAACCTTGGGGTCCGGCCACATAAAATTATCAGCGACAGGAATTATGTTCTTTTTACCAGCCAAGGCCGTGACTATCTCCTGCAAGAGAAAAGATTATTTCTTTGAGTCTATGAGATACTTTCATGTGTAGCCTGGATGTAAAAACACAAGTGACTACAGTCAACTGCAAGTAAC